TGCAAAGCCAGGAGATTGTTTCTTTTAATCACTGATCGTAAGCTCTCTGAAGCCGGTAAATAGAAATGTCATCACGTTTTATTCGGACTCTCCGCTAAGAGTGGCATAGAAAAATCAAAGAATAGTTTTGAAATTTTCCAAATTTTTTTTTACTTTCTATTTTGCATTTGCACTAGTATAGAGGAAGTACAGGAAGCCTCTCTTTTTTTTTCTTTTATTTCCTTCTGCTCAAATGGAGCTGACTCTCAACGTAAACTATTGTTTGAGTTACGTCGAACTAAAGCTCAAGCAGTTTCCCAGCCGACGTTATCGTAGTTAAGCATATTTCGACACATGTTTTGTTTTCCTTTTATGTCACAACCGCAAAAGCAGGTGAATATTGCAGTGTTCGATGAAAAATTTAGAGTTTGGTGGATTTCAGTGAAACGATCACTGAAGTCAAACTCGTACAATAGAATCGAGACATGTACTTAACAAACAAGAATTGAAAACGTCGGGAACTGAAATCATTACCTTTAATACGGCTGTGGAGCTTCTGTCATTATCAGTTATAACCATTAGATGATCTAATAATAAATATTAGGTCAACAAGGCTGAAATAAAGGAACACCACTTTTCACATGGTCTACATCAAATTGGACACCCACGATGAAATCCATCTGAATTGAAACTCGATCCATGCAAGGCTATTACTACAGATGATCTTTGGCATAGGATGCGTGCAGAGGAAACGTGCATAGGATAGGCATGTAAAGATGTTTTTCTAGTTTGCTGATGAAGCGTGGTTGACTTTTGATTTCCGTTTCAGCATTGTTGGAGAAATTCTCCCGTTCAGAAAAATGTTTAATGAAGCGTAGATTACTTACGACCATTTTATTTCCCTTTTTTATTTGCGAACAAACAACATTGCATTTAAATATTATGATAGGCTTCAGGGCCTTAGGAGCTATTTGTGATTGATGCATGACTAAGAAAACCGATACTTGGCTCTTTTCATCTGCACGTGACAACAAATGGAAACAGGAACTAGAATCTCACCCTTGAGTTTGACTCATTCCTCAAAATTAACTTAAGCATTTCTATAAGGAAAACCTTATTCTTCGGCTCGAGTGAATGCACTGAAACCTCTCTGCAAGGGCCAATGGAGATGACAAACCATACTGGGTATGGAAAAGATAATACGTCCTTTGAAGAACTGCGATGCTCAACAGATTTTACAAGCGATATTCATAAACATCTGATGTCTTTATCAGCGGTCAACATTTTCCTATCCATTGCTGCAGTTCTTGGGAATACTCTGATCTTCGTCGCTCTT